GCATAGTGACATCTAGTATCAAAAACGTTCCGATGTAAACATGAAAATATTCGGGATCGCCCACGCAAGTCAATGAGATCAACACAAATATTTTCGAGAACAACATAGGACAGGTTAAACGCAATGTTTCTTCTCACCTGTTTTAACAGAGGAAAGGGAAAGGTAATCAGTGACCCAAACTCTTGTCTATGGCTACCATTCAACACTCTGCCTCTTGCACCCCTGCCATCCATTTGCTTCTTTTCACCCCCCCTAGATTTACTCAATGCCCACAAAACGTAGTAGTGCCCACTTTGGGAACTACTGCTCTGGATCAGGGCTTCTTAAACTTTTTATATTCACGACCCCATTTATAATTGGGAATTTTTTCGCAACCCAAAAAAAAAAAATCTAAAATAAAAATATATACATATTTGCAAAAACAATAATGGTGTACTACCACAGTCACTCTTGTGTTACAATGGAACAGAGACAATTGAATACACTGAACAGCGACAACACTACACTAGTTCACACTACAGCGTTGCTGAATCGTTGTCTCGCTGCACCAGAAGTGACACAAAGCGCAACTCACGAAATCTATGACACAAAGCGTGCCATTTTCAAACTCTCTGAAATTATTTTCAATACTTTGCATTAAAATCTCGCGACCCCAAAATTTCGCTAAGCGATCCCAAATGGGGAGGTGACCCATAGTTTAAGAAGCCATGCTCTAGAGTATTGCAATAGGCTGTCACGAGAAAGTATAGGAATCCTTTGTCCGCGATGTTTCAAACACGGTTTTGAAATAACGCTATTTCTACCTATAAATTATACAATATTTAAAAACAAAACTAAAATGAATGTTTTCTTTATGTAATTAAATGTCAAAATCGACATTATTCTTTTTCTACTATTACTGTTGACATTCGACCGTATTGACAATTTATAAGCATTCATCCAGTCACTAAACCCAGCGCCGTAACTAGCCTTTTATGTGCCCGGTGCGAGCTTCTGTAACTACGCCCCAAAACTATGACCCAAAACTTGGTCCAGGTCATTTCTGCGCCCCTAGGGTCTGCGCCCTGTACCTGGGCACGCAGGCACCATATTTAAAAACAAAACTAAAATGAATGTTTTCTTTATGTAATTAAATGTCAAAATCGACATTATTCTTTTACGGCACCTTTTACCTAGTTACGGCACTGACTGAACCTAGTTTTGAATTTTAATTAAACGAGGAATAGAAGCATTGTTGTTGACCCATAAATAAATTCAAAAAGATTTGAAAAGTAAAATAATCCAGGTATCAATTCTAAGTTATTTTAAAAGTTTTAATACTTTTCAACCAGTTTGAAAGTTTTGAGATTTTTCATTTCTTGCAGTTTACAAAAATTTATATTACAGTAAATTCTTTTACTTTTGACGTGAAATTAAACTTATTTTTGTAAAATATGTTCAGTGACGTGGTTATCCTTCTTTCCCTAAGGCCAAGCTTCTTATTGTCCATAGAGCTTAGGTTTTGGCAACTGCAGTTTTACCAACTGCTCTATATTTTTGGATCGTAATTCCTGCAGTTGGCGAGAGCTGCCTGTATTTGTCTATTGCTGTGAAAAACCTCATTTTGAATCTCCGTAATCATCATATATAGCCAGTGGCGTAGCTTGGGTGTCAGCAGCCGGGGGCGAAGGAAAATTTCGCCGCCCCCTTATTTAGGTATCTCAATTTAAAAGACTAAAATTCAGTTTCGTCACAGAATAAGTAATAAAAAATTCCGTGCTCATTTCAATCGGTCCGAATCATAGGTGGACAAAAATATGAAATGAAATGGTTCAAATTTTTACAAGATATTGTTATTATTTATTGTGAAATTTTGCCGCCCCTAAAAGTGCCGCCCGGAGCGGGCCGCCCCGCCGCCCTACTACGCTACGCCACTGTATATAGAGCTCAAGTCAAAACATCGTTATCCGTTACCTTAATAGCTCAAGTCAAAACATCGTTATCCGTTACTAGTTTATGCTGGTCGATCTCTTTAAATCTGGCCTGCTTATAAGAGCGGATCCACACGTTCGGTATTCCCCTATGCTGAGCAAACGTTTAGCCATTACCGAGTAGTGGAAATGACTCGTGACGAATATTCGATATTCACCGTCTTCTATTCCTTGTCGTTAAATTGTGCCGAGTCAAAGGAGACGAATATTTCTCTCCATGCATTCGTGCCGTCCATCCATACATTCTTTCTCGCAATTTTGTATTTTCTTGTTTTTATCATTATTTTTAAAATGGAATGGTCTAATAAAACATTAGATCATTCCATTTTAAAAATAATGATAAATAATGAAAAATAATGAAAATATTCCATCACCGAATAAAAAAATATATATATACTCATTAATTGTGTCATTTATAACATATTAGAATAGGCCTTACAATAAAGCAGTGTTAAAACTAGGAATATATATATATAAGCCAAACTGGTTTGCTTATTTTTCATTAACAGATACGAACTATTCATAACTACAAAAGTAGCGGTTAAATTATTGTTTGAGAATTGTCCATTTTAAATATCTCGGACAAACATTCGTCATTCCCACAAAGAACCCATGCTCAGCAAATAATCACATGTGTGTATTTGTGTGCTTGCTACGCGATCAACACTTCAGCAAATACTTTGGCAATTAATTATTCGGCATTCGGTGAATACCGAATGTGTTGAGTCGCCCTAATATTTGGTTTTCGCCCTTTCCAATTCTTGTAGGTATATTGTGCCGAATCAAAGGGGACAAATAGGTAATTATTTGGCAATTGGTGAATATCGATCGAGTGTGTGGAGCCAACTTAACAAATCAAAAGAATCAATAATTTGATATTCGTTTATTATCTTAATTACGAATAACATAAATAAGCAAATAAAAATTTTTCATTTTTTCCTGATTCTTATTTTTGATGATGCGAAACTTTTAAGCGATTAATTTAGAAATTACGGTATATTTACTACTATTTTTGCTTTAGGGTATGAACTGCTGCAGCGATACTGCCATTTCTTTCCATTACGTGCCTCCCAATATGATGTATGTGTTTGAATATCTTATCTATTACCTGAAGCCTTTTCGCGTAATCAATTCCACTCATCAAGTTGGTAATAATACTTTGAATTATATAATTAACTTTGAATTATATAATAAAATTTAACTTATATAAATTTATTTATTTATTTATTTAAAGGAAATTCTTAGACCTAATTGGACTCCCAAATTAACTATTAAGTACAATAGAGTTTCTGTAATCTGACGTATATAGGACCGGCGAGTGTCGGATTACTGGATTTTGTATGTACAGTAAGTACATTTATGTACAGTTATGTACAGTTAAACATTATAAATGCATTTTATCAATAATATTAACATTTACTGATACTTACTGTACAGTAAAACACGTACTTGGTTCATAGGTTAGTTTATCGTATTAATCACGATTGTGACTGTTTTGGTGACCGAACCTGCAACGAACGAGCAAAAATTATTGTGACATTGTCACAATGCTGGGCTGAAATTTTTAATCATTTTTTATTTATTTAATTTAAAATATATGTTATCGATTTTTGTAATGTCTTGCTTCTGTACAGTACATCATACTTTTCCTAAAAACAATAGAATCATACTGGTCATCTGTCTAACTCTGTTCTGAAGAAAATCTTTTGAATTGAAATCATGTAGGAGCCTCCTGTCCCTAAGCTTTCTGTATCTGATCTCGACTTTGATGACTTACTCCTTTCTTGCGATTAAGGAAAGACAGGCAGGTGGACGTCAGTGGGAATTTATAGATTTGCAATTTGATAACAACTAGTGACTGACAGTGTACGTATACATCAGTCTCTGTCATGTACTGAATGAACATCGACAAGAAGTAACACAAAAATTTGATGTGCATTGCCGTGGTTTGTCGCATTACTGGACGTATCGGACTGGCAAGTGAAAACTAGAGACTCTACTGTAACTTGAAGAATTACACAAGAAATTTTAATTTAAATCGTGATTTGTCTTCGATGTACAGTACATTCTATTTATATAAAACATCTTTTGCTTCATTTTAAACATTATAAATGCATTTTATCAATAATACAGTATTAACATTTACCGATACTTTCCTCTCGTCAGAATTGTGGATTATGATTATCAGTTAATGATTCATGTAAAGACTCTCAAGAATAATAAAATATGTCTTTAAATAAGTATATAGTATTGTTTAAATTGGACTGAGTTGTGATTATTTAAAAGTAATCAAATGATTCAATGATTTCTTTTTTCTCGCAATATTTATACACGGCATGCCTGGTAGGGAGTTAAGTGGGTCAAGAACTTCAAACTGTATCGTGAAGCTGATGGACATGTCTAATTTTAAATTACATTGTGATCTTACTATGAACCAAGCGCCACTAGGAGAAATCAGAATGTTAATTAACCAATAATATTTAAATACTGTACAGATATTTCATCAATCGATGCATACGCTATATCGATGCAAACGACAGCAAAAACAAATATCGAAAGCTGTGATTTGAAAAACATTTCATTTTAACTACTTTCTCCCTAAAACTAAAGTAAATATACACATATTCTTTAAATGTTATAAATTTATCAATAATTAAATGTGAAGTGGGGACATTTTGAAAATCTGAAAACCCGTAAAATTATTTGTCAGTATGTGTGTATATATAATAAATAAATATATATATAGGCCTATATAGTACAGGTAGTAGTAGTGGTGGTAGTGGTGGTGGTGGTTTGACACACACTTTGATCACAAAATTAATTTTTCGAGTAAATTAAATTAAGATTTCAAATAACTTTTAAAATAAAAATTTATCCCGTTTATAAATAGTTTTTAAACTCGGATTTTTTTCTGACCACAAATAATTTTTTAATACTTACCTTTCACAATACTGGAATTAATTATATAAGAAATGTGATTGGCTGGTTTTTGATATACAGTGGTACCTCAGGATACGAAATTAATTCGTTCCGAAACTTAGATCGTATCATGAAAATGTCGTAACGTGAATCATTTTTCCCCATACGATTACATGTAAAACCAAATAATCCGTTCCAACACGAAAAAAACACTCAAATTAAAGCTAAGTAGTACATTGAAAAAATAACTTTAGTAAGGAAAACACTGAAAAATGCATTTTGTAGTTGTAAATGTATAAATAACCATAATAGAATAATAATTGATAAAAAAAAAATGTAGTTTTATTTGCACTTTACCTTTGAGGTAGACGACGGTGGAGGTGTAAACTGGTAGCGGAAGACAGGGAGAAGGGAAATGATACTAACTTAACTTACATAACATAATAATACTTAAAACAATAACTTAAAAATAACTTAGAAAAGATAAAAAATAATTAGCGTTGTTTTATATAGATATATTTTTTTTTAATTTTTATTCACTGCTTTTTGCTTTCTTTCCTTCACTTCCACCAGCACTTTCACTGGATATTGATAAAATATCTATCCAAAGAAGTTTGGCTTTGCCTACTTTTTAATTAAAATGTTTCTAAAATGACTTAGGCAAATGTCATTACTCCGAGCAGCAATACGGCCAGTGTGAACCTTGTCGGGATGTTTCTTTTCAATAAAATCAGTCACTTTTTGATAATACCTCAAGATTTCCTTTATCGAGCGAGATCCTTCCACGACAAAGCAAACACGCGGACTGAGACCAACGAACAGAAGTTAATAAAAAATGGCGCTGCGAACTAATGTAATGTCGTATGATGAGTTTTTGTTCGTATCGTGGAGCAAAAATATGTTCGAATTTCATGTCGTAAGCTGAAAATTTCGTATGCTGGGGCGTTCGTATCCTGAGGTATCACTGTAAATTAAATTTGAAGACATGTTAGAATTTATTTTAATGCCATGATCAGACGCTGTAATCATGGAAGCATACGGTTTTATTATTACTTATGACAGCGACAGAAATTATTCTGTTTCTCCTCGTTTATACAAGTCTCTGGTTAGCTGTATTGCTGTGGTAAATAATTTTTCTTTCGACATTCTCGATAATTTTCCTATTGTTTTGCGTTATTTTAAAGTTAACGAAGAAATATGGAAAAGAGATGGTAAATTCGGTTTTGTAATTGTTGAGGAGGACAGAAGAACTAACGATGTTAGTAATAAATTATATTATTCGTTCGAGGAATGTTTATATGTTATGAACGAAGTTTATGTTGAAAAGATTTAAAAGAATATATTAATATTTAGAGAAATAAATTGTGGATCAAAGCATTATAAATTTACTAAAGTTCATAAAATCGATTGATATGTATTTCAAGCATCCGAGTAACTGTATAATCGTGGGACCATAGCAATATGGAAAGATTACAATAGTAAGAAAAATTATTCGTTGTAAAATTTATGAAAAGTCTATAAAGAAAATTTTATGATGTTTTTCTGTATATTTGCCGTTTTTTCACGACGAAAAAGATATTACATTCATGTATGGCTTACCTGAATCCGTGCAAGGTTGGGATTTAGTAATAATTGATGAACTCAGTTCAAAAATTGCGTTCCTGTTTACGACAGAGTCTCACCATTATAATGTAAGCGTGATCTTGATAATGCAAAATTTGTTTCTGAAAAATAGAATTATTAGAGACTTTAAACATACATTATTTGATTTTATTTAAAAATAATCGTGATGAAAGTGACATAAGTTGTTTAGGCCGCCAAGCCTTTGCAGGCAAATTTTTGTATAGATGCGTATAAAAAAAGCGACAGAAAAGGAATTTGGTTATTTGTTATTGGATTTTCATCCTAAAACGAACAAGAAGCTTTCAGTGAAAGATTCGTGTTTTCCGGATGAACGAGGTATTTTTTTAATATACAGTAGAACCTCCATTATCCGGATTTTCGATTATCCGGATTGTTCAAAATAAACAAAAATTTTACGAATTTGCTGATTTGCACTGGAATGCATAACTTTTTTGTTTCAACAACGTTTCACCCAGCACAGTGGTCGTAAACTCTTAAATATATTTTACGTAGTAATAAAAATATAACTTGACATACGTATTTATAAATAATTTATATTCAAATTACATCATTTCTATGACCAAGGGCGGCGTAAGGCATGGACGACGTGGCCACCGCCTATGCCTCGCGGTCCGAAGGGCCTCGCGCCTCGAAGGTTTATGCATTACTTAAAAGCCGCGAACGCGACGAAAAAATTTTACTCGTCATAAAACGATAAATAGTTTGTCAAATTTTTATTCATAAAAATGCAGTTTCAACTGCTTTTTATTTTATAAAATCCGTCTTCTTGCGCCACCAGAGGGCCTTTTAAACAATAGGTAGTCTGTTAGCGTTGGTCAGTAGTAGTCCAAATTCAATACGAACGTTTGTTTCTTGAAAATTTGATCACGATTTAAATACAGTATTTACTTTTAATATTACCGATATGTCATCGAAAAGAAAACGTGTTGTATTATCATTAAAAGACAAATTAAAGTATTTGTTTCGATTATCCGGATTTTTCCTTATCCGGACTACCTTCATCCCCAATTAGTCCGGATAATCGAGGTTCTACTGTACTTACTGATAAAATGAAGAACTTAAAGAAAAATTAACATATGTTGGCGCTTTTAGCCTAGACTACGCCTTCTCAACGAAGAGCATTATTGAAAGAAGCTACTCCTGATCAAGTTAAAGTTTTGTGTGAAATACGAGTATTCGATAATTTGCGGAGAGGAAATATACCCGCTGATGTTCATAAATTACGAAAATACAGTATTAAAAAAAAGATCAGGAAATTAAGTGAAAAACATGTTCCTTTAAATACAAAGAAAAAAATTTGGTTAATCAATCTGGTGGATTCCTTCCTCTTCTACTAGCACAGTTATTGTCCATGGCAGGAGGATTAATTGGCAAGGTAATAGGAAAAACAATCTAATGACGAAACAAATGGCCCTGGTCCCTCCCGAATTGCTTGCAGCTTATCAAAACCCTGAAATAAGAATTGGTAATAATATCGAATAATTACTCGAGAGCACCGATTTATCCGACAATAGTAAAGTCAAATTATTAAGTCAATTGATTTCAAGATATCAGAGAACAGTTTATGCGCCGAAAGAACCTGTCAGATTTTCTGACGTATCAGAATTTCGTCTGATACGTCAGAAAATCTGTCGTATCAGACGAAATTCAAGAAGCAACTTCTCGACCCGAAGAAAAACCTAGTGATGATGATGACAAAGGCAAGGATGTAATTATTAAATAAATAACTATATCTGTCCCGCAGTTATATCGAAAATATAATTCGCATTTAATCGATAAACTGAGACAAAATCATTGTGGATGGAACATAAAAGATGAATTAACAATTGGTAGTAAGCCTGTTTTAGGAAGTCATATGATAGACTTAATATCATATTTAATGAGAAAGAGAAAAACGCCATTAGCCCCGGTTGGTTTTAATGAATTTTGAGAAGGATTTTAAAAATAAATATTCAAAAAGGGAATTAGAAATAAAAGTTTGACAACTTTACCTGAAATCGGTGAGAAGCCAAGGTATCAACTTACATCTGTTGGAAGTCCCAAAAAAAATTTCCCTTCAATTTCTCCAAGAATATTTTATCAGTGTAAAAAATCTGTGAAAAAGAGGAAAAAGAGTCCTGAATGGAGAAACTTTTGAAATCAACATATTATAGTCCTAAATCTTCGGCATTGTTTGGAGGAATGAGTAAACTAGTTAAGGCATCTAATTTACCGAGATCTGTTGTGAAAAAATGGCTGTCTTCTCAACTCGTTTATTTGCTTCATAAACCTGTAAAAGTAAAATACTCGCAAAGAAAAACTAACGCTTTTTATCCTAACGACCTATGACAGGCCAATTTAATTGTGTTAAAGCAATTTTATAGATTTAATAATAGTATTAAATATTTATTAACAGTAATTGATGTATTTAGTAAATATTGTTACCAATAAAGGATAAAAAAAACCTAAGTCTATTTTGGAAGCTTTTCAAATTATTTTTAAACTAAATATTCCTAAAAATTTGCAAACTGATAAAGGTACCGAAGTTAAACCGTTAGTTAAACCGAAGAAAACCGTTAGTGAAAAATTTGTTTTAATTAATTAATTAATTAATTAATTAAGAGTATATAATTAATCATTATTCGACTCATTCAGATAAAAGACTTC